GAGCTAAGCGACAACTTTCCTCATGTTTTCCAGTGATGATAAGAATTGTGATCCCACACATCTAGAGGGCATGAAGCCAATATCGGACAGTGAAAAAATATTCCTGACTAGTGTTCAAATTGCAAACAAACTGGGCCACATTATAAAATATCCATCACATAACATGGACTTCCAAACCAGCCTTCCTGGGCTGAATCCAAGAGCAGCTAACTTTTACAGTTGGTTATTTTGAATATAATCTTGTCTCTACAGAAGCTTTTTAAAACAGTATGCCCACAGTTAATAATACATGTGAGTTTACTATGCTGGAAATAATTATAAAGTTACTTGGCTTTGAAGACTCAAAAAGTAAACATTTCAGCACTGGGGGACAAGGCTTAGGCTGTTCTCAATTATTTTTATTGCAAGATACAAGCTCATCTTTGTAGTTGTGTATTTAAGGTTAAGGTCTGGGCAAGCTTCCTCTCCAACATGCTCAAGATATGACAAGGCATGGAATCTGGAGTGCATGCAGAGCTTATAGAATTATATTTAACATTGTTAAAGTGAATATTTTATTTAATATAAATCTACTAATTTTGCCTGAAGCAATGTTTGCAGAATTTGTGCAAAAGGTGGAAGCTTAAAGAACAACTACTGAGGTCATTATTTCCATCTGTACTTAATAGACCAGGCTTGCATATAACAACCAGTCATGGAGTATGCTGCCCTCACATGCTTCCACTTTCCTTACCGCTTGGCAAACAGAAATGCCCATTCCTGGGTTGTTCAGCATGATATGAAGGAGATTCCACACAGAGTTTTAACCCAAGAAGAAACTATGAGTTTAAACTCCCTTGTTTCTTCTTCAAGAACTCAATACTGGGGCATTCTTTGGTTGTTTCTTAAATTGGATGCAAGGCAGAAGTGGTGAGTTGGAGGCTGTATGCTCATTTGTTTGAAACCCTGACAGTTCATTACATGAGAACCAGGACATACTGGCCAAAACAAAAAACAAAAACCCTAGATTTTTGCCAATTCCCCCCTCTAGCTATGTTTCACAATAGGAATTTTTAGCTTGTTTAAAATGCAAATCAAAGGCAAGCATTTGTCTATTATTTTTGGAACAACTGTTATGTGTCAGACTTTTTGGTGTCAGGTTTCTAACTTCCTGTCTAGAATATTCAAATGTGAAATCACAGTTGCTGTTTAAAAAAAAATAACAATGTCACTGATTCCTAAGAATTTGACATGTTCTTTCAGTTGCTATTTATGACTACAGCAACGGAAAATATGGGTAACCTTGGACTTCTATAGAAGGGTGCTGAACAATACATCACATCAGTATTTTAGCTTCTAGAATATTTAAAGTAGATAATGTTGCACCATGAACAATTCTAAAAAACACAATATAATTCATACTTCAGCTACTCTGACTCTGCATCTATTCATCCAAATTCTGCCCACTTTATACTTTAGTTGACTGACTACAGTGAAGTTTATCTACTTAGAAAAATTTTGAATATTCTTGTTAGCTTATTCTTCATCCTATCCTTCTTACAATGAACACAGGACAGTATACATGGGATTCTATCAGATGTTAATCATACTTAAGTCCCATTCATTTCAATGGGTTTACTTTAAATAGGACTAATACTGGATGTGTTTAGGGTGATAAATAGTGTTTGGCTCAGGTAACACCACTGAACTTCAAAGATGAGTGGGGTCATAAATCCAGACCTCCTCATCTACCTTTCCAATACATAAACTATGCATGACTGCAAGAACTGCAAGTCTGGCCCTTTATCACATCCAAACAAGATTGGACTAGCTCTAGGGGGAAAAGTGCTTAACAGGGGAAAAACTAACATTAAGAGGCTGAGCACTTCCTTATCCTCCCACTATGCCATCCTGGAATAGCAAAGCCTGCTGCCTGAAGATAGGATGAATCTTTGGAGAAATTGGATTCACATGACATGGTAACTTATCTTGAGTAACCAACCATGGTGATTTTTCATATTGTGTGAATCTGGAATGCTTCCTGCAAGGCAGCTTGTTTTGGGGCAAAAGGACACACTGGTAACCCATGTTCTAGGGATCACTCGATCACAATGAGTTAATGGAATCTGTTGCCCAAGTTCAGAGGACACATCATGTACTACAGGAAGCAACGACAGATCTGCTCAGCAGAAGCAGCAAAATCTCCTTGCCTCTCTTGCAGAACTTGCCTGGGCCACAGCCAATAACAGCTACTCCAGTAATGCAATGCACAAGCAGCACTTTGCAATGCACAAGCGGCAATTATCACTGGCTCATTCTATCCAGTCCATTCATGATCTCTTTTCAAGTGCTACCATGGCTCCCCCTGCTTCATGAACTTGTCACAATCTCTGCCAGTGACAGCCACTGCCAGTCCCTCCAAACTACTCAAAAGGCACATTTAGCATCAGTTACTTCCCACCTTTCTTCTTTGGGAGAAAGGCTGCCAGTAAATGAATATAGATTAACTGGGGAGAGCACCTTTGCAGGACTAAGATTTATTTAACCTTGTAGGTAAATTAGTTTTATTTCTGTGTCAGGCTTTATGCTCTCTCCTACTCAGTTTTAAGCTATTGGATTAAGTCTGTTTATATGTATTGTTTTAGTCAATATCATATAGATTGATTTTTAATTATATATTAACTTATTGATACTATGGTTATTTGTAACGGCTTCTATTGTGCTTCTGAATGGTTATGTACTGTTGTTCACTTGATGTGCCATGATCCACTCTGGACACAATCTTGTGAAAAATGTTTTATAAATGATGGGTTGAAGTTACATTTGAGGAAGTGCAATGTATCATTAGACATGATATCTGAAGAGACATGCTACAGACAAGTTCAGCTGGAGTATAACAATAACTTGGATTGTTTCTAACAACCATTGCACATAATTTGCCACTACTACTTTTAAAAAGTAAGCACAATGACAAGTTATTTAGGAAACAGCACAGTAAATAAAATATTAGGGGTATTTGTTCATATTATCCTTTTTAACCTGATCAGTGCATGTTTACTCAAAATTAAATTTTGAGTAAACCTCACTGAATTCAATGAGGCTTACTCCAGAATAAGCATGCATATGATTGTAGCCTTTGGAATGAAGAACTGTTATGATTAGAAAATCAATCTCATGTGATTTTTGAATTTATGAGTGACTTACACAGAGCACTGGATGACTGATAGTGATTAAATGGATCTACTACATAACCATAGCCAAGCCTATATTAGCAATTTTAATCTCACCAGGCTTTTCCATATGAAGTATTTTTTGAAATGAGAGTTAAGCCAGAATGTTTTGGATTGTTGATTAGGTCATCATCTGATCGTAAGTTACAAATTAGTTAAACATGAAGCACCTCAAGGCCTATACTGTGATGTTTATTCACTTTTGTTTCCTTGCATCAGCTTTCTTAAATTTGGCCTGCAATTTCTATAATCCCCAGCTAGTATGGGCAATGGCAGTTGTAGTTCAACATATCCGGAGGGCACCACATTGGAAAAAGCTACCTGCTTGAAGAAGTGTGATGATATTTAGAAAGAAACAAAATAACTGTTTCACAGAACTCTCAGAACTATCTTAAAGCAAATCAAGCCAAATGGCATTTAACAAGACGGTGTAAATAACTGTACACATTTGCAAAGTGTTTACTGTATTCATAGTTTTCAATACACCAAGTGATCCACATGATTGTACAATGACTACTTGCCTCAATGAGGCACAACAGAGCTCTAGCATTCACAGGATAGTACAGCAGTTTGGGGTGCAAGTCAATTACCTTGGCATTCAGAGGAAACTAGAGTGTCCTGTGGCACCTCATCTGTAGCATCCAAAACACCTTTCTAACATGATGGCATAGCATGAAGTACTTAAGGGCCTAGATATGAAGATAAGCTACAGGTGAAAGGTTGACACACATGGCTAATTCACATGTAACTAAGAGAAACCTGGGTTGCCCATCAGATGTACACTCAAGAGCTTGACAAGCAGGCCTTTATAACATGCTCTGCAAACTATTGTTTGGTTGCATATACACCTAGCATATAAAGTGGCTCTTTCAAAGAGAGCACCAAGGGCCAACTCACGCACATGTCTGCCACATGGCACTAAGCACTTTACTGTGTCTTGTGAAGAGGTGCATTGGTGTACACATGGCAGACAGAGGCTTCATAGCATTTCTCTACTGTGTATCCCAGCACATTTACCAATATATATTCCTACCTTCATAGTGTTATTGCTTCAAACACCAGCACATGTGACTTGATGACATTTCCACATAGTGTGAAATAATCCCAAGAGGCTCATTTTACCTTTTACACTTAGCTGTTTTCACATCATATCCCTGTTCACATATATTAAAATACATATAGGAAAGCAGACCACCTCTGACTTTTTCCTCTTGCAAAAAAAAGTTTTCCTCACCTAACACCACCACTTTCAAGCACTCATACACAGAACAAAGTCACTTTGCTAGCACACTACTCTTGGAATCTTAGGAAACTGCTTTGAATAATTAAGCCTTCAAATTAAAATCACCACAGCACAAGATAAAGCAACTGCAACTTTCCAGTAGGGCCTCTGGTCTAGCATTTCACAGTGAAGTGGGATTTTGTCAAAAGTTTACCAGACAAATGACAGTTTAAAGTGCACATTCTTCCTTCCTTCCCACTATGATATAACTTGTGACAAACTGACAGACAGTGTGCTATAGTGGTTAGAGTGCTGGGCTAGAACTTATGAGATTCAGGTTCTGCTCTCCACTGAAACTTATCAGGTGACTGACACTCAGCATAGCCTATCTCACAGGGTTGGAGTGAATGATAAAAAGAAAGGGAGGAAGGCTACTTCATCTGCTTGAGGTCTTTGTAAGAGAGAGTAAAACAGAATATAAACATAGCAATAAAAAAGACCCCCGCCCCCCCACACACACACCGAATACATACAAATTAGGCTCACTAGGCTTCAGCAGAGGTGCTTACCTGTACTGCCAGCTTTTTGTACTGCTTCCACCTCGGCTGCTACTGAGCCCACTACTGCTGATGCCACTACTACTGCTGCTCTTGCTTGTGCAATTCTGGGTGGGGAGCAAGTTCTCCAGCTTGCCTTCACTTTCAGAGACTTTCATAGCCGTCGACGTAGCTGCCGACACAGATTCCCCACTTTGCATGGCAGCGTGTATCGAGCCACCCCCACCCACCTGGGTGGGAGGGTTCCAATTAGCAGCAACACTAGAGTCACAATGGTGTGGGAAAAGCTTTTTTAAAAACCTGTCAAACGCTGCCACTAGTCCTACAAAAGCAGAATATTCTAAGGTGAAAATGTGGTGAAAGGGTCTGGTGGAGCCAAAACTATAAACCCAGGAGGAAGGTGAGAATTGGAGTTTACAACAGGTGCGGAGAGGGAAAGTCCTCAGCTATCTGAAGGGGAAATGAGTTTTGTGGGGAAGGGGACCGGGAGAATTTGCACCCCAGGCTTCTCAAGTCCAGCGCCCGAAATGCAGGAGGGCAACTGTGCTGGACATGTGAGGTTCACGTATTCCCAAACCCAGTGGGTGTGTGTCAAAAGGGCGGGTAGATAAGTAACGCTACATTAAAGAATGGCCTCGTCTCAAAAGCCCAAATGTAAAAGGATTAGGCGGGGGAGCAGCAGCAGCTGCAAGAAAGAGGAAGATTTCACAACTGTACCTAAAAGGATGCTCACACACTCAAGAGACTGAATGGAGCCTCCTCCTCGCCCGTCCTTCTTTCCTCCCTTCTTCTCCCTATCCAGGGGCTGCTGGGGCTGGGCCCACCAAGAAACACGGACACCCTCCTTCTCCGGCAGCCCCACTCAGCCCCGCTTACGCCCTCCGGCTGGTTCGGAAACGCGCGGAGAGCCAGCCCAGCTCGGCCAGGTCCGTCGTCCGCGGCCAGTCACAGCGCCCAGCCCACTCGAACCGAGGAGCGGCAGTGCCACCACCCCTTCCGGGTCAGGCGCTGCCATCGCCGCTCTCCCTCTCCGCCTCCCTCCGCCCCCCAAAAAACAGTTGGTGTCGGCGCCTCCATCTTTGTTGCGGGCAAGGGTATCCTGAGAGGAGGGCAGCGAGGAGCAGGGGAGGAAGGCAAATGTGGGTTTTCTTTTCTTTTTTAAAGTATACGACGAAGTATGTTTTAAAGGGAAGGGGATTTTAAACACACACACACACACACGGAAGAAACTGGGCTTTGCACCAAGGCTGCGTGGTTGAACCTCCCCGTTCCATAAAAACTTTATACCAGACTTCCTCAGTTCAGCACCCCCCAGACGTTTTCGCCCTCAACTCCCCTGAGGACCAGCCATCATAGCTGAGAGTGAGGAATCCTGGGAGTTGTAGTCGAATAACATCTGGAGGAGGGCATGAGGTTGAGAACGCCACAGTAAACTTGGCAGCCTTTAAAGGCGCAACGACCCCCAGTATTGGCCATATTGCCTGGGAAGGATTAAGAGAGCTGCAGCCCAACACATCTGGAGGGCTCCAGGTTGGAAATAAACGCCCGCCCTTCCTGCGCTCTCCATGCCACCCGGGGAGAAGTGGCAGCGTTGGGGTTTTCGGGCCGCTTCCCCAAGCTCGCAGGCTGAGCGCAGGGGGCGCGTCAGCCGCACCGCAGAACTTTCGCTCCAGCACCAGCCGGAGGGAAGCCGGTCTGCGGGGCCGGCGGGCGCATCCCAGAGCGCAGCCCTCGCGGGAGCCTGTTGCCGCGAAGAACTAGCCTGTTTCTTAGCGCCCCTCGCCTTTCGTGGACCGCAGCCTACTCCATCAGTATCTAGTATTCGCATTTCAATTTGTTGCATTCTCTTTTAAAGAAAAATACGACCTTACACCATGCTTCATGCAATGCTTATTCTACTTTTAACTTTTTTAACGTGGTATATACAGAATGGAAGACACGTATCAAATTAAGTAGGGTATATGTATAACCAGAACTGTTATGTTCTTATCTTGGTTACTTTTCATGGGGTTTTATTATTTTTGTTTGTTTTTTGTTTTGATTTAGCAACATAATGAAATTAATGAAAATAAATACTAAATAAATATAGATTTTAAACGAATCAAGGTGGCAATATACGGTTTATACTGTTGTTGATAACCATTAACAAGGCTTTTTAGCACCTTCGGTTGAAATCCTATGTGAGATTGGGGGGGGGGGGGGATCCAACAATTCCCAGTCTTCCCTAGTCAGCATAGAATGTGGGAGGTGTAGGACTTTTTAAAAATCTAAACACAAATAGATTGTGACTTTAAAGGCTAACATTAATTATAGTATACGGCAGCCTTTCCCAACCTTATGCCTTCCTCGAGATGTTTTCCACTGCAACTCCCATCAGACCAAGGAATCCTAGGAATTGTAGTCTAAAATGTTTGGGGCAGGGGAGGGGGTGCTTGGATGGAGAAGACCAGATTAAGTTTTTGTGCACTGTAGTCCACTTTAATGTGAAGCATGTTTCTTAAGTTACTTTTATATGAGAAGCTATGCTGGATAGAAGCAATAAATTTAACTAGTCCATCCTTCTCTTCCCACAGAGGGTCTACAGTAGACCTTTCACCACTTCACAGTGCCTACCAACCTGTGCCAGCAAGGACAGGAAGAGGGGACAGTTATTTGTGTCACACCCATTCCTGCCCTACAGCCTGGCGGGATCTGCATTTTTGTTATTTTTTGGAAAATACTTTTGCCAGGTTCAGGCTGACATAGGTCCTGGGTCAGGCCTATGTGGTCTGAATGGGTTTGGATCCAGTGGATCTGAGACCCCAACCCATGCCACCCAGCCTCAGGATGCTCTGTTCTGGGGTCTGCCCCTCATCCATGGGTGTTTCTACTTCACACTAGCAGTTTGACTAGGAACACTTCTATGATCCTGACTCAATTTCTTATTCAAAACTACATGCTGTCCTTCAGTTGATAGAAGATACTTATTAAAGCTGTGGGTTGTCTTTTTTTAAAATGGTTGAGCCTGAGTCAGAAGCAAACACCTCTGATTTCCATGGAGCAAAGTCCCTGATAATTAAACAGAGAATTGAAGTAAGATTAAATTGTAGATTAAATTGTAAGGTTTATTAGTGGTTTATTTGTTTGGGGTGTTTATTTGTTTTATGATGGACTTTATAACCAGTGTTGACTCCTGAGTATAAATAATTGAAAATCAATATTTAAGGATGTACCTGTATCTTGGCAAGTTGGCTAGTGGGAATGTCATGATGAGCTGCATTTCAAATGTTACCTCTGCCCTGCTATTTCTGAGTAAACATACAAAAGATTAGTGCTGTTAGCCTCTATGATGCCATCATGCTTTTCCTTCCTCTTTCTGCTGTACCAGAAATTGCGTACTCTTTCAAAATTACTGGCTTGAAGCAGAAGTGAGAGACTTCAGGTTCATGGGATCTACTTTGCTTCTTTAGTACAGTCTCAACATTCAGCAACCAGTTCTTTGTGCAATAGACATACAATTAGAATTCAAGAATGCTGAGCTCAGGCCAAGAATATAAGTATTGGACTGGATGGAGTTTGCAATTCTTTCACACAAAAGCACACTTCTGGTTACCTAATCACTGGCCAGCTTTCTTAGCTTCTGTAGTATAATTTAAGGTGGAGGTGTCATTCCATTGCTGCTGTTATTGAAGCAAAGGCAGACAAAGAATAATTGCTGACTTACTACAAATCATCCAGAATTCTATCAGGAAATTCACATTTACCTTGTACACATCCCTGTCTTTAAATACCAGAAGACATTAGAAATAAATGTCCTTTTGTGCTGAGAAAGAAACAAAAGGCGTCTAACTGTATATTGGTAATTTCAGTCTTGGTTCATTATCTGCATTATGATAGTTAAGAACTGTTTCCATCTTCCCTTTATTTTATCCTGGTCAGATAGAATGTTCCCCTGTTGGTCTTTCAGCATTCCTCACCTAGGCTTGAATTTTCCTTTGATTTCTTGAATCTTCTGCAAGAGGTCTCTTTTTTATGTTGTTTTCTTCTATTTTTTTACACTGGTAATTAAAATAGTTTCTTCTTTGTCTCTGGGATAGTTGCTGAAAAGTTACAGTTAGGATTCTGACCCTGTCACCTTTTCCTTTGCTCCTTGCTTCATCTTAACAACTGTGAGTATATCTTTTGTCAGCCCCTGCCTTTTTTTTTTTTTTTTTTTTTTTTTTTTTTTTTTAGTTTTTTTTCTTTTTAGTTTTTTTTTGTTTTTTTTTTTTTTTTTGGGGGGGGGGTTTGGTGTGGACTTTTAAGTCCTCAGGAAGGTTATTTTGGTTGTATTTTGGCACTATGCTTCTGTTAGTGATCTTTTCAGCTTTACTCTGATTTTTCATATGGAGAGTTCAGGGGCACTACCACAATCTGCTGCTGGTCTTGTTTTGGCAGCAAGAATACAGATTCTCCCTTTCCTATTTCCAGTTACACAGCCTATTTGACTTCTACATTGGCCATGTGATATACAGATTGTAGGCTTCACAGAATTCTAAGAATTGTTCTCTTGCTTTGTTTTAGACCCCCAGGACAAATGATCCTACAACACTGAATTCTGCTTTGTTCTCTGCTTTGGCATTCCAGTCCTCTATGATTATTAGCATGTCTAATTCTGGTGCATTTTCAATCTCCTCTTGAATACATGTATGAAAGTCTTCTATTTTTTCTTCTTCAGCATCTGTTGTTGGGGCATAGTCTTGAATGATGGTTATGTTGATAGGTTTTCCAAAAATTCTGATTGATAAGATTTGGCAGCCTCTGCATTACAGCCCCTTACTGCCTGTGCTACATCTTGCCTCAGTAGCAGAGTCACTCCATTTCCCCTGAGTTTTCCAGAATAAAACAGTTCATGATTGTCTGACTGAAAATGTCCCATTCCAGGCTACCTTACTTCACTCACACCATGTACTGCAACGCTTAACCTGGACTCATACTTCTCACATTCCATGTTCCAGTTGTATGTGTTGTGCAACACTGGACTTTCTGTTCACCTCTATGCATGTCAGCTAGTAAGACTTCCTTTGGGCTTTGATCTAGTTGTATCATTAATGACAGCACTAATTGTACTTGTCCTTTGCTCTTTTCCAGTAGCTAGTTGAGTGCCTTCTGACCTGGGAGTTTCATCTGCTGGCAGTATCCCTTGTTTCATTTTTGATTGTTTCATCATAGGGTTGTAAAGGTTAAAAAAATCAGAAGTAGATTATCCATTGCCTTCTTCTACACATTACTAAGCAGACTTCGCTTGAGCATCACTGCTGCTGTCTATGAAGGGGCTAACGTCACCTTCAGCTACCACTGCTGCCCAGCAGCTGCCCTTCAGATGTTTCTCTCCGCCCATCATCTTTAGAGATACCCACTCTCTTCTGTTGATGTGACCTAAAGAGGCTGGATGCATGTTGGTCTCGTGTCTCAGCTTTGACCCTTCTGCCTTTGGTAACACTGCTCAGAAATCAGCCTAGCAATGGCCTCCTGGCAGCATTGCTCTCAGCTTCTCTGACATTCTCAACCCCCCCCCCCCTCAGCACGTTAAGGTTAGCATCTGGGGTTCTTATACCTGGACTACTTTAAAAACAAAAGAGAAACATTGTAAAAGATAGTTTGATTTTATTTAGTTACTATTGCCCTCTAGTGACCAGTCAAAAATGTCAAAGATATTTTTATCTTGTTTTTAAAAATGCAGGTACTCCTTATTCTAAAAACTACCAAACCAGAAATGTGCACATTAAATTAATTTTCATATGGAGATATTGACATATCACCTTACCTCTGTCCCATGATGTCACATATTAAATGTTTCAAGCAAATTCTGCTGCTTAGTTAAAAATATTAAAAGTATATAAATATTCAATACAGTACCTATCTTTTCTCCATTGTGGATCCAGTAGTAGCTTCAAGGAGGGAGGATTTATATCCAGAATCAGGGAACAGA